GCAACCAACTAAAGAATGGAAAGTTTTACTTGTGGTGTATATATATATTCCTATCAGGTACGTGTCACATCAATGATAAGTAACGTGTATCTGTTCTTTAGCATTCTCGAAACAACTACCATTCTGAAAAATAATGCCAACAAAATATGATATCATTTTCAGCTTAGCAGTTACTATAGTGTTAAATATATACAGCATATGTGAAGAAGTCCTAGGAGTAAAATCTATGGGAAAACAATGAACCAAATCAACAGTAATTCATAAATACTGTTATTAATATTGCTTTAAAAAGTATATAAATATTTCTGACTTTTAAACTAATTCCAAAGAGTTAAAAAGAAATACAAAGTAGTCCTCTTTTTTAAAATTTTTAACTTAAAAGTATAATTCTAGGCCAGGTGTGGTGGCTCACACCTGTAATCCCAGTAGTTTGGGAGGCCGAGGCCAGTGTATCACCTGAAGTCAGGAGTTTGAGACCAACCTGGCCAACATGGTGAAACCCCATCTCTACTATACAAAAAATTAGCCAGGAGTGGTGGCAGGTGCCTGTAACCCCTGCTACTTGGGAGGCTGAGACAGGAGAATTGCTTGAACCCAGGAGGCGGAGGTTGCAGTAAGTTGAAATTGTGCCATCGCACTCCAGCCTGGGCAACAAGAGCAAAACTCCACCTCAAAAAAAAAAAAATTATAATTCTAAACAAATGACTGAGGATAAAAACACCACCTCTGGAAGTACTCCAAGTCACAAAGATTACAGGAAAGGCTGAGTGTACTCTGGAAATGGAAAAGGATGAGGCTTCGGATGGAAATTCCTGACGTGTTGATGTATTTTTTTAAATTTTTCAGAAATACTGGAGACAGGAATTGCCAGGCACGCAAACCTGGGTCTCCTGATAGCAGCAATCCAAAAGGAACGCCTGGGCTGCTATCACAGAAAATGGCAGTGTTATGAAAGCCAGCACTTGTCATGAAGAATGCAGGCTGTTTTGTTTTCTCTAGTTAAAAAACGTAGTGTTGAAAATGTATTAACCTACTTAAAAGTTGTAGCATTCAAAACAATGGGAAAGAAAGATACAGTGTGATAGATGGAAGACAACTCCTGAAGAATTAAACCAGACCTATAACATAAATGCAAATAATAATACAAACAAAAATAGCTCTAATGTATAGAGTTTATAATATATACTGGGTACCTTAGATGTATCATCCTTTTCAATATTCGAAACAGTCCGAAGAGGTAGGAATTAATAGTCCCTTTTACTGATGAGCAAGCTGACACTTAGCTAAGTAACTTGCCCCAGTCACATGATATGAAATGGCAAAGGTGAATTGAAAGCCAGTCCTACTGAACCAAAGTCCATATGCTTTCTGTAACATTATTAAAAGTATGTAATTCAACACTTCAACAAAAATGTGTGTGCCAGAAATTATAAGGGAACTAGCTAGAAAAAGGAGCCAAAAGTAAAATGTTATTCCTCCCCTCTTACTGATTTTTTAAAATAAAAACAAACATGATAAATATCAAAGAAGACAATTGAGAAATACAAAGTATGACTATAAAGTAACAAAGCCAATATAATTACAAACACTCCAGAACTTATCAAAATTATAATGCTCTTAATCAAATTAGTCATCTCAGAAGAAGGTATAGTAATTTCTAGAATCGTGCCATTGTTCAAAACACTTTGCCTTGGGCATCATAAGAGTAAAATTATGTATCTATATCTCCTGAAGCATAGTCTTGTGGGGTTTTGTTTTTAAAGCAGGGTTTCGCTCCATCACCCAGGCTGTAGTGCAGTGGTACAATCATAGCTCATTGCAGCCTTAAATTCCTGGCCTCAAGGAAACCTCTCGCCTTAGCCTCCCAAGTAGCTAAGACTACAGGCATGCAGGCCATCATGGTGGACTAATGTTTTAAATGTTTCGTTTGTAGAGACAGGGTCTTGCTATATTCCCCAGGCTGGTTGCCCAGGCTAGTCTCAAATTCCTGGCCTTAAGTGATCCTCCTGCCTTAGCTTCCCAAAGCACTGGGATTACAGGCACAGACCAATGTGCCCAACACAACCACGGCCTTTTAAACAAAGTAATGCTGTGGCAAATGTTTACAAGTCAATACCATACTATGTTTGGAAATAGCCAAAAGTCATTTGGATACACAAAAATGTTAACAGTAGATCTTTCTACTGGGTAGAATTTCAGAGAACTCACTTTCTAAGTCAAGTATTTCTATAATATTTTACTGTTTTATAATGACTTTTACAAAAATAAAACATTTTAAAAAGTAGTATGAAGCCAGTAGTTAGATAGTCATCTAGAATTTACAGTTCCATTTAGAATTTGTTCTTGTGTAATTGATAAATTAGCACTGCATGCGATTCTAAAAACAGAGAATCTATCAGACACAACCCTGGTGATTTTCATGAATATAGTCCCTCCAAATAAACTTTAAGTTCATTTATGTAGCTATAAAAGCTCTGGTGCATTTTGCAAATTCATTATCATTTTGTAGATATCATTCTGTATATATTATGGGCACCCAAAAGCCTATATTAAATAGCATCTATTAATTTATTTTAAACTCCTTTATTGAGCTATGATTGACATATAAAAGCTATATATGTTTAATGTATACAACTTTCTGAGTTTGGATGTAAGTATATACCCATAAAACCATAACCACGCTGGGTGCAGTGGCTCACGCCTGTAATCCCAGCACTTTGGGAGGCTGAGGTGGGTGGATCACGAAGTCAGGAGTTTGAGACCAGCCTGACCAACATAGTGAAATCCCATCTCTACTAAAAATACAAAAAATTAGCCTGATGTGGTGGCAGGCACCTGTAATTCGAGGCTGAGGCAGGAGAATTGCTTGAACTCAGGAGGCGGAGGTTGTGGTGAGCCAAGATCGTGCCACTGTACTCCAGCCTGGGTGACAAGAGTGAAAAAAAAAAAAAAAAAAAAAAAGTCACAACCACAGGCAAGGTCGTAAACAGACCGCTTGCCTCCAAAAGTTTCCTTCTGCCCTATTTATTTAAAAATGTTTTTTGATAAGAATATGCTACAAGATTTCCCCTCCTAGCAAACATTTAAGTATACAATGCAGTATTGTTAACTATATGCTCTATGCTGTACAGTAGATCTCTAGGATTTATTCATTTGCATAACTGAAATTTTGTACCCTTTGACCAATACCCCTCCTCCACTTCCTCTTCTCCCAGTTCCCAATGACCACTATTCTATTCTTTGCCTCTATAAGGCAGTATTCAGACTGAGCCTCTGAGAAAGAAATATGAGAACACATTTTTAGTCATCTATAATATGTAGTTAAGGCAGGGGACTGTAAGACAAATCAGGAGGTGTAAGTATCTGCAATACCAAACACATTCAGAAACTGGTACTGATGAGAAAAGCAGAAATTTACCAAATGACACTCTGGGCTTTACAATTAAGAGTCCTCAGCCTAGTTGCCTCAGAACGTCCACACAAGGGAAAAAATTACATTTTATCTAGATTTAAAAGGATACCTTTCTAAAGAATAGAATGTTTTGGGTTTTTTTTATGTCAGACTAGGGATGATCTGGGTCTATGGGCTTAAATTCAAGCCATAGTTCCTAGATCAGAAAATGTTCAGGTCTGGAAACAGAAGAAAATGGCTGGGTGTTTTCTTTTTTTTTCTTCTTCTTCTTTGAGATGGAGTCTCACTCTCTCACCAGGCTGGAGTGCGATCTCAGCTCACTGCAACCTCTGCCTCCTGGGTTTAAGCGATTCTCCTGCCTCAGCCTCCTGGGTAGCTGCAACTACAGGCGTGCACCACCACGTCCAGCTAATTTTTGTATTTTTAGTAGAGACTGGGTTTCACCATGTTGGCCACAATGGTCTCGGTCTCCTGACCTCGTGATCCGCCCACCTCGGCCTCCGAAAGTGCTGCAATTACAGGTGTGAGCCACCGCTCCCAGCCCTTCTTCTTTCTTAATGTGAGCATTTCTCTCGTGGCATTTGAATTTCTGTTTAAAACCCAATAACTTTCAAGCATACCATCTTATCAGCAATTTACAATGTAAGAAACATATGGTTAAAGCCATCTTTAAAATAATCTGTAACAATTACATTGTTCATGGGTCTTAACTCTAAAAAGTAACATTTTAATCCAAAATATATTGTTTGTAATGTGGAAGCATAAACCATTTTAAGCATATCATTGAGAGACTGAATTCTGCAGAAATCAGAAACATTAAAAGACATTACATTATATGACAAAATAATTAAATATCTCCATTAACTATAAAAACTTTTCATTTCTTGAAGACCAAATAATAGATTTTGCTAATATTTTTAAATGTTTCTTATTGTTAAAAAATTCCTAAGTATCTGAATACTGGTATCATTTATATTTCAAAGGTCTTATGGCTGAAAGAAACACATATTTCTATTTAACCCTTGGAAAAGCTGTGCATTAAATATATTTACTGATTGCCTTCTATGTTTCATCCTAAGACCAGGCAAGAAGAAGGGGAACCACATATGGTACTCAAACCTTTATAAAGCCTGAGGTTAGGTGGCAGGAGAAGGAATCTAAAGTTTTGTTTTCTATTGCCTTTCCTCTTTCATTAACATACTATTTCTCTATTATACTCTCTTATCAATATTCTACCCAACACCCACAAATGTTTTATTTAATCTTAAAATAAATTAAATGTCATTAGACCTATGAAGAATAAAGCAAATAATTGCTGACTTGGGTTAATTGCATTCCTTTTAGTTCAGTCATTAATCCAGATCCTGATGTTAAGCAAGCCAGTATAATAAGAATTCAGATGATCAAGTTGATAAAGACTCTTGTGGATTTCACTAGCTATCAAAGAGGATAGAATTTTACCACTCTGGCCAAGTGAAGAAACAACTCCAGTGGTGTTTGTTTGTTTGTTTAACCATAAAACTGTAAATATGAAATAGTCTTGAAAATACCTCAACCTTGGCAAAAAAAAAAAAAAAAGCAACCATACCTTCTCCTCTTATAGTCAGCCTTGTTGCTCCATTTATGCTGCCATATTTAGGTATTATTTCTGTGACTTTGGGGATTATTTGAGAGCCATCTGAAAAATATTAAAATATAGTAGAGGTAAAATCACCAAGTTCTTCATTTCAATTATCAACATTTGTAACACATACCACAAGGCTGCAAGGAAAACATCGTGAAGTTTATAGGACTGAAAGTAAAATTCACCCAGGTTTTATTTTTGGCTCTGCCAATGACTTGACAGAGTCATTAACTTAGTTAACACCCACTGGCTTTGTGCAAAGCACTATCTTAGGTGCTACCAAGAGCAAAACTAACACGTGATCATTTTCATCACTTACCTATCATATTATAAAACACGTATTAAATCCTTAATTTCATGTAGTGTTCTGCTAACTGCAGATCTATAACTATGCTTAACAGCTCACGTAACAGCAGACATCAAGAAGATATAGGTCATTATAAGAGCACAGAAGAAATGTAATGCTAGGTAGGTTGAAAGACTAGACCAGGTACAAAGAGAAATGTTGGTTTTGAGAAGAAATTGTTTTCCGTGAGGGAGTGTGGCTTCAGGAAAGATAATTTCTGGGATCCTTCTAGTCTCCTGATGATAGTGAGTTCTTAATGTAAAGGTCACTAATTCATTCAACAAACTGTGTTAGCTTCCTAGAAATACGGAAATGTGTAACAGTCCTAACTTTCCAAGGGCTTAGGTTAGACAGTACCAACAGACAGAGGAGAGCATAGAGGCTATGGGTGACTCAAGGAGCATTTCACCCACACTGCTTGTGTCGCACTGGCTTCTACAAAGAAGACATGCCCCCTTCCACATTTTTGAGGGCAAATATGAATTAGACTGGGCTCATCGTCAGAAAGATAAAGATAGCTCTAGATAGAGGGAACTGCCTGGGCAAACAGCGTTATGTGAGCTGCTTCTTTGGAGTACTGCAAATAATTCTTTAAAACGACTCAAAGCTACATAGTGGATAGAGGTGTTTATTTTCTGCTTATACTGTACAGATCTAGTAATTACTGGAATCCCGAAAGAAATGTTCACAGTAGGTAGAAAAATTTAAGTGATGATACAAAGAAAGGCCATAGAAATTATTAATTTCTCGAAATGGATGTATACAAAAAGGCTAAGGGAATTATGATTGGCTTGTT